TGATCTGTCTGGCTTATGTGATTTTTTAGTCCCAAGGTCATAGACTGCTTTATAGATTTCATTCTCAGATCTTCTAGTGACAAGTTTTGTTCAAAAGAAATAGGGTCTCATTTTATGGGGTGAGGGAGAATTCATGTGCCTATTCTCTTGGAGTATATTTGCTGGTAGAAAATTTCTGGGTTCCAATTCGATGTCCTTTTGACTAAGTAGGCTTTTGCCTTCCATGGAAAGATTCAATGATGGAGTTTTTCCTTCTCCTGGGGAAGAAACTAGAGTTTTCATCTCCCTCAATCATACACTCGAGTTTACATTTTTGTAGCCATAACGACTCTTTCTTTGCGGTCAAGGTGAGGAGTTTCTCATTTAGTGAAAAGGCCCCATTCTTTTCTACCGAATCAATCAAATGTCGGTCACATTTCAAGTTGGACGAAAGTCTTTGCATTCCAACATTTTTGAGTCAGTTTCAACCTTTTTAATTTCTGTATGCAGCCATGGCAAAGCCACCACTGTAGGGGTGTGTGTGTTATGTCACTGCTCTTCCATGACAGAGGCAAAAGATCGGTGTTGAAGTCACATATTTTCAAATTTGAGTGGCATTTGGCTCCACTTGTTTCCTCCAAAAGCAATCAGAATGGGATAGTGGTCTTATGGAAATCATTCGAGTCTTTTAACCAATGCATAGAAGAATTTGGAAATACATGTTTTGGTCATCAAAAATCTGTCAATGAGAGTGAGATGGGCGACTTATGATGGTTGGACCAAGTGTACCCAACATTAGACAGAGGGATGTTAACAAGGTGTGCTTGATTGATAAAAATCTGTTAACAAGGGTGGCAAGGGATGCTTTCCATGGGATCTTTCATGTGAGCACTGGGTGAAAGTATAGTCACCCAAGAATCCAATTCTTACTACAAAGGAAAGATAGATTTGACAATTTTTGCCAAAATTGTGGTCTATGGGTGTCTTTGGATGGGCCATAAATTCCTGAGAGCCAAAAACTAAAATCGTCAACCAAAGAAATAAGAAGGGATTGAGAGAAAGTACCTCAGTGACACTGGATATTGCAAAGCAGAGAATATTTTAACACTTTTCATTAATAAATGAAAAGGAAAAATTGTTCAGGATAACGAGCAAGAAAAAAGAAAAAAAGACAAAACAAGAGAAGGGCTAACTCAACAAGGAGCAATTCAATCTGTCCAAATTAGAATGGACATTAAGAAAACCAAGAACCAAGGATGAAAAGACCCAAGAGCAGATGCACCAAAACTAGGGATACCAAAACACTGTTGCGAACTAAAGATTAGTTCTAAAACAAACTTCAATCCTTAGACGAAGAAGAATTCGGAGAAACAAAATCTAGAGAAGATTTATCATTAGATAACACAAGAACATCCTCAAGCTCCTTTATGTAATCCTTCAACAATTGAAGCTGCTTCTTGGCAAGAGAGATTAATTTGAAATGTTTCTTCTTGAAGCCTTTCGGCTGCTTCTCGAGAGAGGCTCCTAACAACTTGAGGGCATACTATAAGTTCTCTTGAAAGCCGATAAAATTTTTTCCTTTTAGCAATCCGGAAAAAAGTTTGAGGGAGGAAGAACCATAGAAATGATACCCGACAATCAAAGAGGCAATATCCAACGGGTGAATATGATGGAGAATTGCCAATTTGAAGAAAATCTCGAGAAGCCTGACCCAGCCAACCAAGATATAGATAATAAAAAGCATTCAACAAATGTAGGACAAACCAAGCATATAGGACAATCCTTCTTTCTCTTTTTTGATAATACCTGGTCTTAATATGTTCTTTGGGTCCTTCTCCCAAAGCATTCAAAATTTCCCTCTCCGCTGGCATACTGATTGAATCAGTGAAATTTGTTATTTTGCCAAGTTGGCAGCCGATGAGGGAAATTTTGAGTTTTGACTAAAAAACCTCTAATTGTTATATTTTCCCCTGTGACATCTTCCAAAGCTTGCCATGGTACTGTTCCTCGAAACATTTGCTGAATAAGCATGAATAACTTTTTACAATTTTTTGGTTGCTTTGTTCATTTTAGTGTTGAAGCAGACTAAGCTTGGCGGTGGATTATTCTGAAATCCTGTTGCATATTCGGCATTTAACTTGATGATTTTTCTTGTAGGGATTTTGACGGTAAAGTGACTCCTGAAGAGGTTGCAGCTGCTGCTATGTACTTAAAAGATACATTAGGAAAGGAAGGCATACAAGAGCTTATTAGCAGTCTTTCCAAAGATAAAGGTATATTTGTTTACTGCATTAATTTTTACAGATGCTATGCCAGTACCTCTGAAGAAATGATGCTAACGTATCTTGGTGGATTTAAATCTTCAAGATAAGATAGCATCATTCAAATTTATAATTAAGAATACCAAAGAAACATCTGAAAGTAATATGAATTAGTTCGCCTCATTGTTTTCTCTGAGGGTTGGGAGCGGGGGTGGTGAACAGGGTTTGAAAAGGTGGTTGTACTGTGTTTAACTAATGCTTCTTGGTACCATGTTCTTTACTGGTAGTATTCGCTTCCCATTTCTCTTAGTTCATCTGTTCCCTCGCATTATGATGGATTCCCTTCTTAATCATGTAATGAGAAATTATGGCAAATAGGTCTATGACTTTGACTCTGTCCGAGGTGGTGTATGACTGAGGTGAAGTAGAAGTAGATTCTCTTCAACACCATTTTGGATCCTGCTTTTGCAAAATTGCTCAGGAATAGCCTTTATCTAGGTTTTATTTCTTCTTAAACACCCAAATGGTCAAAATCTGGTAGTGAAAGTGTACCCACCAATACAAATCACCTGTTGCCATTATATGCTCTTGTGGGACAACCCTTTTTGAAGGAGAAAAAGATCCTTTGGATGCATTTTGTTTGGGCTTTAGTGTGGTTTACATGGATGAAATGGGATCACAAAATTTTCTTTTTTGAATTAAGAAACTATTTCATTGATCTATGAAATATGAGAACAAAAGGCCCAAGATAGGTCTACAAAAAGGCTCTCCAGTTAGATAAGAGAGACATAACTGTAATGTTGAAAGAGAGAAGAGCATTTGCACCAAGATATAACCAACAAAATTATAGAGTAAAAAATGAGATGATGTGAGCGCTCCATATCTTGGAAGATTCATTGATTTCTTTCCGCCCATACCGTCCAAAGTAATGCTCGAACAAAATGAAGCCAAAGGTTAAGTTTCTCCTTTTTGAAAGGGTGACCATTGAGGGTAAAATCCAGTAGCTTTGAGATATCTGTGGTCAAAGTAGTCAACCAACCAAACAAGGAAAGAAGCTTACACCATAAGTTAGAGGCCAAGTCACAAGTGGGCCGGAACTTGGGATTACAGAATTTTCCAAGACGAGGAGTTTCTTTTTGATCATTTTCTTGAATTTATTATTTTCTTGGTCCTTACCTGGTGTGAATACTCTTCCTCTCTTTCATCATTATGATATCTAATTAGAGAGGCCTTTTTAACTCCCATGGATAGGAGTTTTCTCCCTCCTTTTTGTATTTATAATTTCATACTATCAATAAAATTGTTTCTTTTACAAAAGTATATATGTCGTAGATGTATGAGGCAAACTGCATTGCACAGAACCTGGTTTCATTTACAGTCTGGTGTCAAAGTTTAAATGAAACTAAAGAGTTGGGCCGGAGCTTGGTTCCAAAATCTGGTAGTCAAAATCTTCTCCGGCCTTTGTCAAGAGAAGAAACCTTTGAGATCTGATTTGGAACTTGGAAGGTCTACTTTTTTCATAGATATGCTTTGACTAAGTAAAGGAAATCTTTCAGTTAATGCCAGGAGGTTGAACTTCGGATTTGGATACTAAGGAGTTCATATCTCTACTTGCATTTTTACCAAAGATGTCGATTCTAGGTGGAATATTCAAGAGTGAACGAGGAGAAATAGCCTTTCCCATTTGTTGTTCTTTGCCTTTTAGTAATTCTCTCTGTTATTTTCAATTAGTTTCTTATATTAAAAAGGAAGAGGGAACCTTTACTTTTTCCTTTCTGTTGCTTAATTAAAGTAGGATCTTTATAATTTTGGTCCATTTTCAGAACGCTTTCATTTTGATTCTCAGAATGATTTGAATCTATCGTTGTGATGATTGCCTAAAAAATAAGTTCTCTATCAATATATACGAACAACTTGCTCAATGCTAATTTATGAGATTGCAACAGATGGTAAAATTCTCGTAGAAGACATTGTGAGATTGGGAAGTCAAGCAGAAGACACCAACTCGTGAATATCGAATATCGAAAAATATAGAAGGTAAGAGATTAATATTTTTGACAGATGCTTTCTAAACGCTGGATAGGTAGTCTAAACCGAAATTCGAGTCGGATCTCTTGATAGGAAACAACCGTTAAATCTTGAAGCTGAACATAGGATAGGAAATACTTATAGCAATTTGTTGCTGTGCTTATGTAAACAATCTACTCTCTAGCTTCCTTAGTGTATGCTTTGCTATCTTTATAAAGGTTAGCAAAGGTTCAATGGGTATAAATATACGTAAACGAAACGATGGACTCTTAGCCGTGTATATTCTTTTTTATTTGTATGGGTTATGGCCTTCTTTCTTGTATTTTGTTTATAGTTTTTTAGAAATATAAACATTTGATAACTGTTCTTTGTTTTTCTTTTTTTTCTTTTATTTTTAAGAAATGCTTAAAAAATTATGTGGTCGAAACAATAAAATCAAGTTACCGTTTTCATATAGTTCTTTTTTTAAATATAAATAAAAATATTATTTTATCATTCTAATATAACACTAATAATGTTACTATTTAATTAAAAGCTTTAATTTCATTTACATAAATTATTTTTTTAATTTAAAATAAGAATAAATAAATGACAATCAAAACTTTCACTCTATTTGATAGTGTTAATTAAATTTTAAGAATTGAATCAATTGTGGATCTATCCCTGAAAGAACGTAATCTCATCACTCTCAAGTTCATCAATTTCATTATCACTCATCTCTATAGTTTTCACTTTACAACTTTTAGATAACTTTCTACTAATGAGACCTATTACTTTAATTACTTGTTTTATATTTTTATTATTTATTTTTTTAATACCACTAATAATTTTTCTTTTAATAAAAATTTATAAAATTTTTATTAGTTAATGTGATTTTATTATAAAATGTTTCAAGTTTCTATTTTATTTTTAATTAATTAATTTTATTTTGTTATTATTAATTAATATTATTACCTTCTTTAAACTAGAATATTTTTTTTAAGAAAAAGAGAATATCTAAACAATAAAGTTTAATAAATTGATGTAAGAAAATTATTTTAGTTGATGTAAGTTTATTTTAATTATTTATTATTTGTTAATATTAAATAAATTATTATAATAAAAATATTTACTATCAATAAAATAATAACAAATTTTTTCTCAAAAAAAGAAAAAAAACACTTAACAAAAAATATTAGCATAGTTTTGTAGTTAAAAAAGATTTTTATTTTAAAAATAATCATTTTTTAAAATTATTATTTTAATTAAAAAGATTAGTATAACTTTGTATTTATAATTAATTAGAAATAAGAAATGGTTATACTAGTCAATCTAATATATTTTATTTGTATTTCAATTCCAAATGGTGTTATTAAACAATTTCAAAAATTTCTGATTTCGATTTTAGATAATTTATAGTGAATAATATCAAATGAATAACATTTACATTATGATTGATTTTCATTGCGATGACTTCACATTTTAATTGCGTGCAAGTAAACGGGGCATAAGAAAGTTACTAAATGTGTTTTTATTATTTAGAAAAAAATTGTTACTAAACATAATTTTTTTGTTCATTGAAAAAAGAAATAATAAATAATAAATGCAACGTTACTAAATGAGATAGACATGATATTATAGTTTTTCTTTTCCTCACATGTTTGGAGTGTTGGGTGAATAGAAATGTTAACTCCCTCGAGATATATGTACCCGTTTGAACTCAATTGACAAAGTCTTGCAAATTTAAGCTTTAAATTCTATTGCCTTCCCTTGAAATTTTGTCTCCATTAAAATACCACTAATGTAAACACCATTACTATTTATAAAAAATTTAAATGATTTAAAAACTGACGAATATTTATTTATTAATTGAAAATTTTTAATGAATTTCTTTATTTTAACGAATTTTCCATAAAATCAACACCTTAGACATTCCCATGGCATCAATTTTTAAACCTTTGGTTGCAATGAAGTCATTTAGAACGAGTAGATAACTCGTTGAAGACAGAAAAATAGCCTTGCTATTTTCAGGACGAAAAAAGATACTTCAGGAGTGTCCACGGGTTGGGTTGGGTCGGGTTAGGGAGTTTTTTGGACTCAACCCGAATTTTCGGGTTGGCAATATGTGGAACCCAACCCAACCCCAAAAAATTGGGGTTGGGTCAGGTCGGGTTGTCACACCCCCTTCATCGGCAACGACTGGAGCTGATGCAGAAGGACGGGGACTGCAGCGGACGGACGGTGGGACGACGACTGGTGGACGAAGAGGTCAGCAATTACAGCGGGCGGATGGTGGGGACTGTGACGGTGTAGTGGGCGAACGGCAGGGATGATGATGGTGCAGTGGGCAAAAGGCGAAGCGGCGATGATGAGAGCTTGAGTGGGAGGAGAGATGTAAGAGCTTGAGTGGGAGAAGAGAGGTGAGATTAGAAAGAGATTCAAAATAAGGAAAGAAGAAGATGAAAAGGGGAAGAAGACCTGTAAATGAAGAGTTGAGATTAAAACTAATGGATGGTTGAGATTAAAGATAAAAAGTGTAAAGGTATTATAATTTATATTATTATTATTGCTATATATATATATAAAGCATTACTGGGTTGGGTGGGGTCAACCCGAAAATTTTAAGGGTCAACCCGAGACTCGATCCAACCTGGTCGGGTTGGAAATTTTCCAACCTAACCCAACCCAAGGTTTATTCAAACCCAACCCCCAATCCATAGGGTTGGGTTCGTTGGTTTGTTATAAGATACTTATTTTGAGCCATGCAAAGACTTGAACTTAGGTAATGCACGTCAATATTTAAGTGCATTGCCAATGTGCCAACACCCATAGTTATAAAAATTGTTTTCTTTTAAACAACAAATTTTTAATTTATTTTAAAAAAACAAAAAAAAACGAAAATTTTTATTTAAAATGAAAAAAAAACCTTCCATTTTTTTTTTGGAATTTAAAATTGGTTTTTTAAAAAACCATAAACTTATTTAAAAAATCTCTTCACTTTTTTAAAACTCATTTAACAAATCTTTTATTTTAAAAACAAACTCTTACTTAATTTGAGATTTGAGATTCATTTATTTTGAAACAAAAGTTTTCTTTTGAATCTTTTATTTATTTTCTTAACAACTAGTATTTTATAACTTTCCTTAAAAAAGATTTTTTTTTTCTTTTTAAACTTAGTTTGTACTAATTTAAAGAAATTTATTTGAAATTAATTTACAAAATCTTTACTCTTTTTCCAAAAGAAATTTACTTAAAAAAAGGTTATTTTAAACCAAATTACTTTTTAGAAAAAAAAACTTTTATTGATCTTGCATTTAAGAAAAAGTATGGTTTAAAACAAAATATTTTCTTTTTTAAAATCAACTTTATTTACCAAAAAAAAAAAACTCTTTTTCTAAAAAAGAAAATCATTTATCAAAATCATTTACTAATTTATAAAAACGTATTCAAAACATATTTTAAATGGTTTTGTTTTATTTTGGAAAATTTTTGTTTATTTAAAACAAATCCTTTTATTTAAAAAAAAAATTGTTAAAAGAAAAGAGAAGTATCTTGTGTAGGATACTTTAAACCCTTTTTTAAAGAGAACATTCAAAGGTTTATACGCATTATCAGACTATACCGTCTACCAGTAGAGTTCTGTAAATCTTGCTTCGTCGGAGTTTTGCTTGGTTGTGGAGGTCATAGAGGCTTTACGTGGATTGGTCGTGTTTGCTTGCCGGTCTTGCAGAGTTGTCGCTGGGATGTGTTACTGGAGTTTATTGTAGAGAGAGAAAGAAGGATTGGTGAGAGGTAGAAGATGAAGGAGAAGGTGACCCTTTTTAAGAGAGTGGAATGAGTTTTTTCTGTGTTGTGCCCTGAGTTTGTGTGTTGCCCCCTCCTTAAATACCAGAAAAAAATAACAGTAATATTATGAGTCAAGTAAATGCAACGGACCTGGCTTTAACAACAGGCTTCGACGTCGACTTGGATCGGGTTCGATTTAACCGAATGATAAATGAAACCGACTTGGCTTTAACAACAGACTTCAACCTCAACTTGGATCGGGTTCGATTTAATCGAATGATAAAATGCAACGGACCTTGCTTTAACAACAGGCTTCGACCTCGACT